TTATTTTAAGCACATTGAAAATAGTTTTGAAAAGAAAAGGAATGATGCTAAAGCGGCTAGGCAGAAGGAAAGACGACGTAGGGTTGCATCAAAGTCAAAAAATCTTTCTGGTATTGTTACTTCCGCTGAAGGAGAGCCTTCGTTTAAACGAAGGAAAAGAGAAACGATGGTTCATAAAGTAGTAAGAAAAACGGGAAATTCTGCCCAAGCAGTATCCGGAAATCATGCTGGACGCAAAAGTTTGCGTGAAAAGTTTAAACAAAAAGGATTAATAGACACAGGATCTATTGCCGAAGAAGAAAATTTACCGATTATTGCTGATGAAGGTAAATGTTCGATTATTCGTTAATACTAAAAACGATCTGACCTTTCTTCTAAAATTTTTACATGATTATAAAAAGAACGATTTGAGACACAATATGAAACATTTTCACAACGCTCACGTCCAAAATGGAGTCAACATGAGGATGAATTGGTTCTTCATGTATATGTAATTCTCAAAGTTCGTTCACAGAAATCGAGATTCTTATGGGGTTCAATAACTAAAGTGTTGCCGCATAAAACGAACGAAAATTGTCGTCGAAGGTTAAATGTTTTGATCAAAAATACGGCAACATTAGAACGAGTAAATGTATTATTGAGCCAATGGCCAAGAATGTATGAAGCTGGATTAAAAAATGGTCATATTGTCGATGAAGATGAGTCAGATATGCTAAATTTTGACTTACCTGGGCATTTAGACTACTTCATGAAGGCCTTGCAGCATCATCCAAGGCAAGTTTATTACATCACAACGTATATCAAACAATGTTATAATATATACGCGCTTTATTACATACATATGTCCGAGTGAATTTACATATATTTTGTATATATGTACATTTAGTAAAGAGAGTCCAGATCCGATAATTCCTCTTCCGTGTGACATTAAAACATATGATCGTGTTTTTGTCGAAAATTACGTATCAACAATGCGTCATCAAAATCGATTTTATGAAGATAGACTAGTTGGTGCTTCTCTGCGGCAGAAATTTTCACTGCTCTATTCTCATCCTGTAACATGTCGGATTTTTTACAACGAAAGTGTAAATTATTATGAAAAATTGGATATAAGTGAAGATGACATTAATGTCCAATGCATCCAAGCATTGGTAAAGGTAAAAAAAATTTTTTTTGAAACTTGGAATTAATTTTATTATTATTAATTTATTCAATAAATTTCTTGCAGATGATTCTAATGACTCCGGATGATAAGTACGATTCTTCACACGCATTTTCAATTCTTAATTTTTATCCTGATGCAATGGTGAAAGATGCGATTGAAAAATTGAAAGATACGGGAGCTATTGTTAAAGTGAAAGGTGGATCGGACCGAAGAGTTCCTGGTAGAGGCTACCAATTTGCTGACAAGTAAAGTATTACTTATCCTATGATATGTTGGAAAAAAAAAAATAAATATATAATAATATTATTTAATTTAGGTTTATTTCAGTTATATCAGGAAGTTTACCTGATCGTATGTTTTCGCATGCTATAACCTGTCATAAAAAACTAACTATGGCAACAGTATTTGACCAATTTTCGAATAGCGGAGATATGGCTTGTTTATTGGATAAATTATCTGGGGGCAAGGTTAATAATCTTTTATGCATAATTTTTTTGTTTTTTTTTTTAGTCTAATACTTAATATAATAAATTTAATAATAATTTTTTTGAATATTAAGATTTCATTATCCTTTTCCGATCGAAGCCAAGATTTATTTACCACATGCATTATACCAAATCACCGAAGTAGAAAGATTGGTAAGTTGTTTTGCAAACATCACATTATATTTATTATGCAGATTATGTATTTCTGGATACGTCACGACTCTTATTAAAAAAATTTTTTAATTGATAATAGATCCTGCTAAACTTCATTTTGATGTGCTGATTACTCCAATACAAAAGTCAATTCATAATGAGGAAATGGATCACATTGTTACAACTGAGGAAGACGAGTTTCACCATAGTTTAATAAAATCTCGAACCAACAATTTATCTTCGATAAATACGCAAGCTGAAGAACTAGTTGCCCTACAACAACTTCTTAATGTGCATGATATTACCTCTAAAGAATGTCTTAAAAAAATTTACAATTATGTTCGGGGATTTGGGAACATTGGCACGACTTTGACATCTCTAATGGTAATGTTTGTATAATTAACTAATAGCAGGTGTTCGGCAAACTAACGTTTCATATTATATTTTAGAAATCTGTGGATATCTCTGAAACAGATTTTCCTCGTTATATTTCATTATTAGAATCGAATAAACCAAGTCTTATCAAGCAAGTTGGGTACAATTACAGTCGTTATGTCTGTAGCATTTATGAGAAATGTTGGTTAGTCAAGACACATCGGACTCCTATTTATCGTTCCAATAAAAGGTGCATTGACGAATACATGGATCTTGATGATGGAACGTCACCTTCTGAATTATTATTGCCAAATAGACGCCAAGAAACGCAAAATTCAACGGAATCATTTGCCGTACCCCGGATGTGGTATGATATTAATGGCAATTTTATTGAATCAGTATTTCGTGGATGCCTCGAGGTGGTTTTAGGTGTTATTATTCAAAAGCCTGGAATATATGAGGTAATTATTACGTAAATGATTGATTTGATATCGAAGTTTATGTGCTGATGTGCTTGTTTATATAATGTAGTCAAATATACATCGTAAACTCTCATTGGTAATGTCACGTTGTGAAATTCAAGATGTCCTTGAAGAACTGGTCTATCGTCGTGCTATCACCAGGAGTTCTATCATTAAACCTCAAAAAGTCTCATTATTTTCAAAACGACGCGAATTCGTTGAATGTGGTAAATTTAGTTTCTTTGTTGGTCTGTGGTGGTCTGTGGTTATATATTAATACTTATAAACTATAAAATTATCGTTTTAGATGTTAATTCTCTTAATCCAAATAAGATTACATGTTACTGGACAGAACCGGGATATTATCTGAAATGTAAGGTTACGACCTAAATATTGTGTTGAATGATGACATTATTACATATTTTTGATTTAGGAATCGAGATTTCTAGATTCAAAGATATGTCCTATTTTTGGTCAATAGTATCAAACTCAAAAAGTTATTAAATCGATGCTATAAAATTTTCATTCTCAAGATTCTAAAAGTGATTTAACGATTAAGCAGATGTTAAATAAATTGATATGTTAAGCCTAATAATAGTATCGAAATGCATGCAGCAAGTGAAAAATAATCATAAAAATGAAATTTTTAGGTTCAAAATAAAACTTTTGAATCATAAATAATAAACTTTTAGACCGAGTTTTTATATCGGATCCTGTTTACAATAGGGATTGGAACCGTTTAACCGTTTAAAAGTTGCTC